ATAAAGAAATGTAACTAAGTGGATGAGCAAAGTATGTAACTCAAAAGAAGCCTAACTCCAAATCTTCATTTAAGGACCAAACATAAGATGAAATGTTAGATTGTCACTATTTTTACTTAACTACACTATGGTTGTATCAAAAAATATGCAAGTGATTTCTAAATTGGAATATCAATTTTAAAATGCTGTATTAAGCTTGTTTAGTAATAGAGAATATCTGAACTGTCAAATCAATGTCATTATCTGTGACATCATTGGTCACACTAACATCCCAATAGCGCATAAATACTGAATAGCAGACAAGGAATGAAATGGCAATCTTCCCAATTGATTCACATATTTGAATTTCAGAGTTCTGATTTTTAAACAGGAAAGATCCTCTTATAAATAAACAAGTGTCTACACCAATAAGGTTTTGTGAATTTTTGTTGTATTTAGTTATCTCACCTAGCTTATTTGATGAACTTGTAGTCCCACTGCTGGGTGACTCAGATGTACTTTTACCTCCAACAGTTGTGCCACCTGATGTCCCAGGTGTACCTGTTGTAAAGGAAAAAATGGAAAGAGTTCATTCATAGAATTTCATAAACTGTGAGGTAACCAATTCTGGTTTAAATTGACTTCCAAATAACGATTACAGAAATGTCCATTTTCTATATTAATAATAATTATTACTCCATACATTCCAAAAAATGTGCTTTGACATACATTTATTCATTATTTCATGGGATCCTCACTTAACAGATTACATTGCCCACGTTTCAGACAAGAAAACTGAGGTTACAGTATAATATTGATTCTAAGAGCAATTTTTACCTATGGGCACTATTTTAGCAGGTTGCTTATTTTGAAGTATTTTTTCCTCATCAGAAATGGTTACCAAATGCTTATCAAGTGCCTTTTCAGCCTCTATATCACTAGTTGTTTTTATTCTTAGATATGTTAGTATGATGAACTATATTCATGGATTTCCTGATTTTGGAAAAAATTCACTAAAAAGAAATAGAAATTATTATTGAAATTATTTTAATGTGATTTTGGATTCTAAATTCAAGCATTTGTTTTTTGCTATGCAAACTCTTAAGTTGAATTTTTTCTTTTTGTTTTCTTTCTCTTTTGATAGTTGGGAACAGCTGAAAAGTCAGGTCCAGACTTGTCTGACCTCCCAGGACTTTGGGTCCAGCGCCTGGTTCCCCAGGGGGCTGCCACATCCAGCTCCAGGGGATGCCCCAGGGGATAGCTGAGCGTGGCTTCATTTTATAATAGAAACAAAAAGTTAGCTCATTAAAATATGAAATTGATCATTTTCTGAGGCTGGCTTGTGTGAGGAAAAATAATTTAAAATAAGAGTGAAGCTTAATTCTCTCAGAAATAAGGGACTTCCCCCTTCCTTTTCTTAGAACATTGACTTTAGAAATTTTGTATTTTTAAGTTCTTTCTCTGTGTCTTGGAAATTTATTGAAATCTTTTTTAAAAAAACTTATAGGCCTCTTGCCATCATAATATCCAAGGAGTGTCTTTCTCAAGAACTCTGGCACTGTCTCTTTGACACTTGTTTTCCTCTGGTTATAAAACTTCCTCCTGTCATCAAGATAGGAGGTTTATTTTCCCTTTGCAGGAAACCAGTGAACTAACCAGATGGCACCCAACTACCAGATGAGTTTAGAATGAACTATGTGTAATAAATAGTGCTATCAGGTTTTGTTGCTTGAGGACCAATATAATTTTTCTTGAGAACTTGAAGGTAATGGGTTGTGTCTGCTTGGTGAGAGGTCTGTCTTTACAATTGCTTAGCAAATGGCCTGTAATTTGCATCACTTTCTAATTTAATCCATATTAAATCATAAAAATGTTTGCTTTGTGGCCAGGGTCTCTGGGTTGGGAGAATTTGTTTTCATTTCTAGTTCCCCAATACTAGAAATATGACTGCTCTTTATTCCCCTGGAATTGAGTATATCCCTACACTTTTGCTCAACATACTTATGTTTTGAGTTTTGCTCAAGTTAAAGCATGTCGATATAGTCACACTGCATTGAGCATAATATCATATTCTTTTCAAAAGAGAGTAAATCACAATCTAATCCCTTCTCTTGCTAGAATTTCCTCTTGAGTTCCTACTCCAACACTTGTCATTGAACATTTCCTTAACTTTGATTACCTTCTGCCTTGCATGGCCTTTGCCTTTGCATTGATATAAATACTCATTTCTCTTGCTCGAAAATTAAGCTCTAAGAGAACAAGTACCTGACTCTACTCTGTCCCTATGTTCTCTAGAGTATGATGCGACACATCATAAATAGCTATTAATATATCTCTGATCTTCTTCAGTTTTCACATTACACAAATAATGAGTTAAATTTCCCCAGGAAACCTTATCTCTGACAAATTTTTTAGTAAAGACATCACATTTCTGTTGTCTAGATTTATTCTATGTTCTCTCAGTACCTGATGCTCCAGAAGTCTCTTCACCAGCAGCTCCAGTGGTGGCTGCATTTTCCCCTCCAGTGGTTCCTGTTTAAAAAGAACGGTGGTGATCAGGCCACACTGGGATCGCCAGAGTTAGCAAAGAAAAATACAGGACCCCCAGTTACATTTGAATTCCAGATAAGCAACAAACAACCATGTCCCAATTATTGCATAGAACATACTTATACTAAAAAATTATTTCTTACTTATGAGTAATTTAAAATGTAAATGGCATTCTGTGGTTTTTATTTGGCAATTCTAGTCTACATAGATGGTTGTGTTGAAAATGCTCCCACTACCTATATTTATTTGTCCTAAAATGATAGCCATAGCCTTTACTAAACGTACTTACAGTCCTCATAAGAATGTGGGGTCTCAGCTAAACTCATGATGGAGCACCACCAAAGTGAGACTGCACCTTGCCTGCTGAGATCCCTGTTGGGCTGGAAGCAGTGGTCTAGCTGTGCTGCTACTGCCAGTTCCAACAGTAATTCCCAGACTCTGCTGTTACCCCTGACAAACACAGTATGGGGAGAGCATGTGCCTTATTGTGACAACCCAATACTGTGCCACTTTTGAAGGGAAGATTGGAGAAGCCAGAAAAATGAAAAATCTTGAAAATGTTCATCATTTTGCACTAGCTGGTTTAGCTCAGTGGATAGAGTGTTGGCTTGCGGACTGAAAGGTCCTGAGTTCGATTCCAGTCAAGCGCACATGCCCGGGTTGCGGGCTCGATCCCAGTGGAAGGCATGCAGGAGCCAGCTGATCAATGATCCTCTCTCATCATCGATGTTTCTATCTCTCCCTCTCCCTTCCTCTTTGAAATCAATAAAAATATATGTTTTTAAAAAGAAAATGTTAATCATTTTTATACCCTTTATTTTTTATTTTTTTGGATGGTAGATGATGAATTTGAGTGAAATCAGCAAGCTCTGATTTAATTTGGTCCTTTTTGACAAAGCCACGGCCTCTGAATGACATCCGCTGCTCACCTGACTTGCCTTCCTCAGAGGGTGTCCCTTCACTGCTTGGAGCTCTAGTCGTTTCCCCAGCTGATGACTCAGTAGTCCCTTTCAAAATAAACAATACATATATACCATTGAGCTATGGTTAAGCAGAACAGATTTTGCTGTTCTCTTCTTTCAAATACTTTGCATATATTTGTTCACACTTAAAGCATTTCAAGTTCACTGTTTCTAAAAATTAATTATAAGAGTCACCTGGGTTGCTTACTACACATACAGAAATACTAGCCTCACTGTTTCTAAAAATTAATTATAAGAATCACCTGGGTTGCTTACTACACATACAGATATACTAGCCTAGTGGTTCTCAACCCATTGAAACCAACTATAAGGCTTTTAAACAACATTTGTGCCTGGGCTCTTCCTCCAGGAGTTCTGATTCAACTAGTCGTTAAAAGGCCCTTCATTGTGCATTTTCCAAAAAATGTCTCTAGTCAATTCCAATGTGTAGCCAAGATTGCAAACCATGACCTGAGCCCCACCCAGACTCAGAGCCTCAGACGTTCAAAGGCAGGAGTCTGCAATATAATACTCTTTGCTCTAAGTCACCTGTGAGCTGATGTTAGTGAAATACAGCCATTCAGCCCATAGATGCAGGGATGGTGACATGATGAACGTGCACATTGACTAACAGCTAATAACCCAGTAGAAGCTGCTGGTGGCTTCCCTGTGGTCAGTAAGAAAATGCTTCTGAGCCCCCACTTCCATACCCGCTCTGCCTCCCGAGGTTGTGCCTGGGGCAGTTGTGTCTCCTCCGCTGGTGCTCTGGCTCCCAGGTGCGGTGGTGAAGTCCTCTGGTCCTTCTGAGGTCCCTGGCATAACAGCAAAGAAGGGACGTTACTTCTAGAGCAGGAGGATTCTACATGTCACTCTCATGTGACAGAATCGAGGATTCTAATGTAAAAGAAATCTTCAATGACACCTAGAGTTTCTGCAGCTAGAGGATCTAATGTCACACACAGCTTCATCTTTAGTTCAACTGGAATATGTTCAGGACCATCTCACAGGCGTTAAAGTGCCCATCCTGACTTGCCTGCTTTTCCTGTGCTTGTTGCTCCTGTGCTTGATGCCCCGGGTGTGCTCTTCTCGGTTTCCACTGGTGGTGCAGTAGGGGCCCCTATTCCAGCTGGGGGGGGCGGTGGAGGGAAAATAGCAGTTTAAAAAAATACCCCAGACATAAATCCACTCATCCAGTCTTATAAGCATCCTCTGAGGCAGGTAATATTATTCTCATTTAACAGACGTGGGTAAGTGACTTTCTCCAGGTCACTAGGTTGGTTGGCAGCAGGTCCAGAAGCCAAACCCAGGTAGTCTAGCCCCAGAGTTTACACTCTAACTTTTGCTTCTCAAACGATCTGTGGTAAAAGAGCAATGCTGCAAAAATGTCAGTCTGCCCTATATTGGTGTTTTGGGAAATGCCATGAAGGTAGAGAAATATTTTTGAATAAAATCATTTAAAACATAAGCTTTTATTTAGGAGGTATTAAAGGGACTGTGTGAAACTGCTGTTTCTATTTTTTAAAATATGTTTTTATTGATTTCAGAGAGGACGGGAAGGGCGAGGGAGATAGAAACATCAACGATGAGAATCATTGATCGGCTGCCTCCTGCACGCCCCCTACTGGGTCACTAGCCAGCAACTCCACATGTGCCCTGATCAGGAATTGAATTGAACCATGACCTCCTGGTTCATAGATCGACGCTCAACCACTGATAAGACTGCTGTTTCTAAATGCCTGTTCTCTGTTTCAGTTCTTACCACATCATGACCAGTAATCAACAGTTCTGATGGCACTCATTTGTGGACCAAACTTTCAGCAACCCTGTTTAAAACTACTACCTGATAACCAAAAAAAAATTCACTGATTGACTTGTCACTATTAGCCAAATAATTCTGATTCAAATTTTAAGGACTGTAGACTAAACAGTCATCACCCTAAAGTTTGAGTCAGTTCATTGATCTAATTGAAAATGACCAGTTTCTTAATTTCTGCTGCTGGAGATTCTATCTTTTAACACATTATTTTTATGTAAACTATAGCTTATTCCAAAAAAGTATGTGACATAAATTTTAAGTCAAGAAATTTGCTAAAGGAAAATAAATGTAGAAAAACAAAAGCAGGCCATAGATTAGTTCTTAAAATCAGACCATGAATTAGATCATAAAAGCATAAAAGGAAGTCCCATGCATACTCTAAAGGCATGGCTTTTAGTAATATGTAAAGGAGTTTTTATTTATCCTAAAGCAACCAGAACAATGGAAGGATTTTACATAGTGGAGTGACGTGATCACAGTTGCATTTTAGGAAGTCCATTCTAGCCAGTGGTACTGACTAAAGCATAAATTGGCAGGGAAAGGGAGAAAGATATTCTCAACGTTGATAAGCACTGATTGCCAAAAGGGCTTGTTGATTAATACATTGTTCTGGGTTTCACTCTAAGAGATTCTGATTTTAGGGAGGTGGCCCCCAAATTTTCATTTCTAAAAGGAGATGTTGATGCTGCTGGTCTGGGAACCACACTTTGAACCCCACTGTGTTAAGATTAGGTGAGGTAGGTGGACAACTGCAGAGACCAGATGGACAATATCTAACACCTGAGCAGAGGCAAATATGATGCAGAGGAGAAAATGTAAGAGGGACTTACATTAACTGATGAATATTATCTATGTTTAAAGAGTATCAATAATGTCTTATTCATGAAACTAGTAATAGTTGGAATTTAGTCAGTGATGCACAAGGGCAAGCATATCCTCATTTGGCTTTTTTTTTAATGTATGCTTTATGCACTGATCAGGGAACGGTAGCTATTGCAGAGAAGGCTAAGGGTTCTGGGTTCTATTCCTGCTTCTGTCAGCTTTGAGACCTTTTATTATTTTCTTCCTAATGGCAATAAAGAGATTTAACTACAATGGTGTTAACGTGGATTAAATTCTGTTACATATTTGAGCATAATTTAGAAATTTTAGTGTACTTTAGAAATATATCACTAATATTTGATTTAATATAGAAAGACTAACTATTGAATATTTTCCCAAAGTCCTCCAGGTGCCTCAGTGCTGTTGCTGGACCCCCATTTCCTAATGCTGTTCTCAGGGTACAATTGTCCCTGACTGGAAACAGAGGACTGCTTGTGAAAAGGAGCTATGGAAGAAATAGCATTTGACTCATTTCTTGATCTCACCTTCTCTGAAGCCTGTGTCAGCTGAACTTGTTTTTTTAGCTCCTGTGGTTGTACTTGCTGATGATCCAGTGGTCCCTGAGGAAGATAAAAAACAAACACGTGCTAGAAAAAGTACATGGGCGCTGTCAACACTCCAGGTAATGGGTATGTATAATTGTCACAATGTGATATACTTTAAGGAATCAACCTGTGGAAAAAACCAAAGACTCTACACTTTAATTACATATAAAGAACACCTACGTCGTCCTGGGGGTGAGAGTGGCTGGGCAGGGGTCGATGGGAGAAAAAGGAGACATATGTAATACTTGAAACAATAAAAAAAGAAATTAATAAAAAAGAAATATAAAAAGGGAGGCAGACATATGTAATACTTTCAACAATAAATAATTATTTAAAAAAATAAAAAATTTTAAAAAAGAACACCTACGTCTGATAATATATCTAAGCCAGCTATCTTTATGTTGTAAAATATTGTACTGAGCAGCACTGCCTGAAACCCGTTGCTTAGACGTGGCTGTGTACTCTGTTCTGGACTTACTGTACCTGATACGTGCCAAGGACTGGTGAAGAGGGGACCCACTGCTCCAGGGGTGCTTGCACTTCCAGCTGTGAAGGTGACTGGAAACGGAGTACTCATAAGGCCTGAGAAAAACAGGAAATGAACTCAGCTCAAGTATACTCGGGCTTTGTTGCCAATGGGCAACTTAACTGTTCAATCAATTCCTAGCATAGAAAATAGAATCAAGAACCCAGTGACTTTCTACCCAGAGTTCCCTAAGATATTTTTCTAATCTTATTTTTGAAGCTAGAGTGTTAACACCCTCAAAAATATCTTTAATACAAAATGGGTTTGTAAGCTAGGTTAACAGCCACAGGAAGGAAGCCCCATAGCACCCTGTTAACGATTATAGAAATTGCTCAGCCCAAGACCTGCTCGGCAGCATACAATCAATGGGTCTCATGATGTATAGCTTTCACCCCTGCACACCAAGGCAACTTATTGACACGCATTTTTAAGATGGTTTTCAGCCCACAAAGTGGAATGACCACCCTGCCCACCACAACTCTCTGAAACCAGACTAGAGGACGCAAGGAGGGCAGTAGACAAGTGGAAGATCAAAATGAACTGCTTACGTAATCAAGGACCCATCGGCAAGCCCCACAGCCCTAAGCCCCTTACTCATGATTACCCATAATTTTTGTTCTATTCAAACCTCTTGACTGTCAGTCACTGGCAAGTTGGAATTTTGAGCAGCAGCTCCCCCTTCTCCTGAGTGGTGCCATCCCAATAAAATCACTTCTATTTCATCGCTGAAAAACCTGGTGTCAGTTCTCATTGACTTGCTGTGCACAGGTGGGCACGAAATCTCAGCTAGTTTGATGACACTTTCCTCTAAGATTTTGGTTTAGTCCTTGCTATTTTTTTTTCTTAAAAAAACAAAGTCATGTTCTCTGCATCTGTAATAGGGTCACACTAAGTTTGCATACTTTTGTCTTAACAAGGTTGCTCTCAAAGAAATGGAACCTAATTACACTGTCATTCAGAGGTGTAATAACAATGTTGAAGTAATATCACCAAGCAGCTAATTGCTACTTTTACACTTAAAACACCTAAAAGAACACAATATATTTTTAGATATATGTTTTCTCTTATCTTATATTCTTTTTTAAAAAAAATTTAAGCTTGATATTATTTAGTACTGTTGTAGATATTCTATTAATAGTTAATAATAAGGAAGAAAATAAAACTATCATATTATAGCCAATCAATATAAACTGGCCAAACATAAGTTAAATTCATTTTTAAAAAGTTCAAAACTAGTGGGAAAAGTCCAGTGTAAACTATTTGTTGGTAATATTTTTTTTCAAAAGTCAAATTCTCATATAAATTTTTTTTCTTAGAAATCCAGTTACTAGTAATTTATACTGTTAGCTATTTCTAACATATAAAAGTCAAGAATTAATATACTGACCTGTAGTAAAAGCTTCAACGGGTAGACTTAGAGTTGTTCCTGATAAGAAAAAGAGATATGGTGTGAATTTTTCTGACCTCAAGAGAAAATACAGAAAGATTGGTCCCTTGTTAGTTTTTAATAGATAGTAGTTTGCAATGTATTTAGTGTTGAGAGTAATAAGATTTGATTTTATTTTTAAATAGTGACATTATAACATACATTCTAATTTATGTGGAATAAATATGCAGGAGTGAGCAACCATAGGTTTATAGTTGTGAGTATGTAAAAGAGTTCATTCTTGTATTATTATTTATTTCCTTTGCCCACTCCTGTATATTCACGATGACAAGTTAATTCTCTATTAAGCAGAGGCTGATTTTACAGTTTGTTTCTTTCAATTCCCTCTCTCTCGGGTTATCTGTGCCTCCAATAATTTTCTACAAAATAACATTTAGTCTGCCAGGGTTTGGGGTAAGAGGAAGGAGAAATACTTTTGAGGAATTTTTTAATGATTTGATAAAGCAGGTTTGTGGAGATACATCTGAAATGACCAATATGCTCCTGAAGAAAAAGACCATGTTTTTATCTTTGCATTTGCAATACCTGTCCTATTGGCAAGAAGGTGGTAGGAGTTTATAAAATGTTTGTTGAGAGGGGTCTGTGGAGTTAAAAATAAGCCTTTATTAATTTCTGGCTTTCATCATCAATTAAGAGTTAGCTATTTTCTGTATTGCAGTCTTAATTTCTATTGAAAATCTCTGGAAAGCTATTGTTTATGTGGTTATATCCCTTTACAATTTTATAGTGTTTTGTAACTTAAAAAAGAAGAAAAAAATAAATTTCTCACACAATCTCTCTATTTAATCCTCACTCTGTCCAGCCACACTGGCCTTCCTTCAGTCTTTCATATCTGCTATTTGTACTTCTCTATATTTGGAACACAGTTTCTCTCCTTTTTGTCTATTTACTACTTATTGGTCAGTTCTCAAATCAGCCATCTTTATGTTAGCCTTTTCTGACCATCTTGACTTAACCAAACCCCTGCTCTACCCTCTTCACCCACATTCTAAGCACTTCACAGCTCTAGATGCAAGTTTTCATTTGTTTTTGTAATTACTTGATTGATATCCCGACTAGACTATAGGTTTTAAGAACGCAGGAAGCATGTCTATTTTAACTCACCTTTATATCTCTAAAAACATTAGAGTACCTAGCACATAATAAATGTTTGGTAAGTATTTGTCAACAGAATAAATGAATAAACCCACATAATAAATGTTTGGTAAGTATTTGTCAACAGAATGAATGAATAAACCCATGAATGAATGAATGAATGAATGGATGAATGAATGAATGAATGAACAAATGGAATAAAAGTATTGTAACTATTCTACATATGAAGAATTGGACTCAGAAAACTAAAGTAATTTATTTAAGACCATTGCTAGTCAGTGACAAAAATGAGACTAAAATCTAAGTCACCTAGGACCTAGGACTGTGACACAATCCACTTTGAAATTGGAATCTGTAATTATATGCTACTTCAATAATGGATTTAAATTAAATTAAACTTTATTCTCTTTCTTAAACATTAAAACACAGAAGCATTACAAGTGGAATCTAGAAAAAGATGTCCTGAATTTTAATCCTCTCTCTGCTACTTATTAGCAAGAAACTCGATATATAACTTAACCTCTTTGTGCTTCCATTTCCTCATTTGTAAATTGGGGGAAATGATGGGTCCCACTTCATAGAGTTTTCTGTATCAAATATGATAATATGTGTCACACACTTAGAACAGTGCTCAGTAAAGGTTAGCTCTGTGTCAAGATCTGTCAATTTAAACAGGGGAAAAATAGAACTACATATATTTCTTCTAAAAATAACATACTTAATTGAAATGGTTGGGTAGGCATCTCTCATGGTATTTTAACCCTTTGAAGCATTTACTATATGAAAAAGAAAATGGATATATAAGACATGAAAAAAAGTTTAAGCTTTGTACATTGCTTCTCTTATGCTTTTAGAGATTTCTATAATGTTTTTCTAAATTCGTCAAAAGTGCACTTTAATCCTGTGCTATGTACCTCAATGATAGGCTCAACAATGAAATCATACCTCAACTTCTATCCAAGATGCTCGAGTATAAAGTCAAATGAACTATCAATTCTCTCTTGAGGACCTAGTCATTTCTCCTTCTATTTGACAGCAATGCCTTTGATCATCTGAGCAAGATAATTTTTTATTTGTTTGTTTATTTGATTGGAAAGACAGGGTTTATTTAGAATCACTATTTCAGAGTTTCATTAGTATCTTTCCTAAAAATTTTAAGTATAGTTGATATACAATATATTAGTTATATTAATATTAGGTGAAAATATAGTGATTCAGCATTTTTATATCTTACAATGTGATCACTTCACTAATTATAGTGATCATTTGTCACTGTGCAAACTTATCACAATATTACTGACCATATTGTCCTTCACCGTTTTCACCCATCCACTCATCCTGTTCCCTCTTGTAGCCATCCCTTTGGTCTCTGTTTCTGAATTTATTGTTTTGTTTGTTCGTTTGTTTTGTTTTAGATTCCACATATAAGTGAAACCATAGGATACTTGTTTTTCTCTGTCTGAGTTCACTTAGCATAATACTGTCCAGGTCCATCCATGTTGTCACAAATGGCAAGACTTCATTATTTTTTAATATTCCATTATATATGTAGAGCACATCTTCTTTAACCACTCATCTATCAATGAACACCTAGATTGCTTCCAGATCTTGGCTATTGTGATCAGTGGTGCATGAACATAGAGGTGCATATATCTTTTTGAATTAATGTTTTTGTTTTCTTAAGCAAATCTAGTAGTAGGATTGATGGGTCATACAGAACTATTTTTAGTCTTCTGAAGAATCTCTACACTGTTAAATTTATGGAAAGTAACGTTAAAATATTTTATTTCATCTTTTCAAGTTTTGGTAAAAAAATAAAATAAAGCCTAATTGCCAGTGAGAAGTACTTAATTCAGTGAAGTATTTGATCCAGTATTTGATCAAAAGTACTTTACCCAGGGAACAAATAATAGCAAAGAGCTGCATTCCCTCCAGATCTCAAACAACCCTGATATCTCACTGCATTTTACCAGAAAAAAATTCTTTTTCTTCTGATCTCTGTTATCCTGAAAAAATATTGAACGCTAACTATTCTAGAGATTGGGATTGGGTGCAATTGGGAACACAGAACTGGCAAACCATGGTCTCTGCCATCAAGGATGTCCACTGGGCTTACAGTGGCAATCATTTATCAATATATACAAATATTGAATCATTATGTTATATACCTGAAACTAATATAATGTTATATGTCAATAATATCTCCATAAAAATACCATGGGTTTAAGTATATGCATATATAGATTAGAGGAAAGAAAGAAATAATAGGAGAAAGAGAAATAGTGTGAAGTTGGAGGAAGAAAAGTTCCTAAGTATTGGAGACTGGGTATGTTAATTCTAATAAGTAAATTGAGATAAAACAATTTTAATACATGTAAAAAACTTTGTCATTTTATAGGCTTTCTATTTCACCTACCTGTTGTCTCACTGCTTGATGTTGTAGTCCCTGGAGTGAATGTTGCTGATTTAAAGAAAAAAAAATTGAAAAAAATTAATTTTGTATAGAGGAAAAATTATGTTTCTGAGAACATCTATTATCATATATAAAATGGGTCAAAATGAATGTTTCAAATAAATTTGATCATATAAGTGGATGGATGTTAAAATGTGAAATTAAATTTTTAAAATCTATAGTACACATGTAAAAGGTCAAAAAACTTATTTTGTATAATATTTTTCTGGACTCCTCCCCTAAGATATTTTAAAAAAATATATAAATAAACAAAAATTTCACCTAATTACTATAGCAAAAGGAAGTTTTGAATTTTTTAATGCCCTCTTGATTAAGTTGTGGTTCGATATTATGGCTTACCTGTGCCTGAGCTACTGGCTGCCAATGGAATTGCTATACAAAGGAGGAAACAAATATTTGGAAATGTATGTTAAAAAGGTGTTGAAGACATGTTGTATTGCTAGAGTGCAAATAAATAATTAAATGTAATAGTTCAACTTATTTATCAAATCTTCACACATTTTAATATACTTTTGTACTGTACTAGCTACTGTTTTAATTAAAGTTATTTGATGCTAGTAAAAAAGAAATTGTAAATTATTTTCAAAGAATTTAACAGAATTTTCTTTAGTTGCCACTTTTTTCAAATTAGTAGCACGTGGAATGTTCTTTTTAGGACACGTAAGCTCCAAATAGAGATGTTTCTTTACTCATATTACAATTTAGATGTAGATCCTACTATTTGGCATTTACAAAATAAATACATGCATACATACATACATACATACATACATATTTGAAAATAGGGCCAAAATGCCTAAATGGTGGCTGCTAATTTAGAAGTTAAAAAACAAATAAGCATTTATTTTTTACCTGTTGTGGTGGTTAATATGGAGGTAGCTGTTGTAGTAGAAACTGTTTAGGGAAGACAATATTTATGAAAATTATTACTTGAATAATTTTTGCTGGGAAATTTAGTTAAAGAAACAAGTTGCCTTAAAATAATAATAAATTTCTGAAATTATGTGTAAAGGTTAAGTGAAAAAACAATCTTTCATTTAAATCAAAAGAGCACTATATACTTATTGCATGTCTACCAAAATAACTAATTATTTTCGGTTAGTACCACTTAACCAAAATCTCATAGGAACCTTATAAGGTCTGTATATGAACCATAACTAAAGGTCAGAACCTTAATATATAATAACCTTAGTGTTAAGTACGTAACCAATAATAACTAAAATGTAAATAGCATTTTACCGATGATCACATAACTTTAAATATATTATCAAAACCTAAAGTTTCTAGTTTACTGTGCTACCTCCAAATATCAATCAACAGGAAATAAAAGCCCTCCTTGAATCACACAAGGACTAGGGAAGTATACTGCAGCAACTAAAATACTTAAATTAAAAGTCCGTAAGCTATAGTGAAATTGCATTTTGCCCACCACTCCCTTGAATGGACATAACTGAAATGCTTTCATAGCTTACAGCAAATATATAAGTTAAGAAAAAGAAAACTTTTTATTTCTATGTTTTCAAATGATTTCCCAGTGTCATCGTGATTTTAAAATATTTACTTCATGGGAGACCACATTTACTCCTTTTTCATTTCATTTATTTCAATTATTATCTTAAAATGTCAAGCTTTAGATTATGTGTTTAGCTAATAAGCAAACAATGCCTATTGTATGTCCTAATCATATTCCTAACTTAATTCACAGGAGTATAATGAAATAATATTTTGACATATTTTCTAGTAACTTAATTTTAATTTGAAATTTTTATAGCAGCAGATTTATCAGCCTACCTTTTACCTGCACAGATTCATGTAAAACTATAAAAAGTTATCCACAAAACAAATCAGAAATACATATTTAAAATAATGATGATTTTACCTGTAACTGTTGAATTGTCAGAACCAATTCCTGTAATAATCATAGATTACTATTATTAATGCAAAATCATGAAGAAATTTAAATCTCAAGCTGCCTATGGGTTATGTCTTTTGTATCTTACTCTCTACATTTTCTAGTACACAAAAGAGTAGTTCGTGTGTTCTTTAGAAGCTCATTGGATTTATTTTTAAGATGTGTCGCTCATGAGCGATTCTTCCATTGTTTAATTCTATCTGTATCAACCCTCACTTGCCACTCCACCATTTATTCAACTATTTTGGCTGATGTCTCACTCCCTTAATCCCCAGAACCTACAAACAGGCAGGGGCACACATGCATGACTTGGCAGCATTGGATTTGAACTGACCTGACATCAACAAATACACTGCAATGGAATGAATGGCCTCGATTCACTGAGGGGCAGTGGGAAGCATTAAGTACCTATTCTGTTGTTGATGAACTGAAAAGATCCCAGACCCTTTATCTAGTCTTTCCTAAATCAATTACAGTAAAATGCAAGGACTCACCACTGCACGCCAACTCTCCTGCGATGCAATAGCTGAAAGTTAATGTTTAAAAAATAAGAATGAGATCGAAATTTTAACTCCTAGTGACATGCATCTCCAAAATGTAAAACAACAAATTGTCTAACAGTGAAAATCAAAACAGGAGCAAATAAGAGAACAGTCAATCATTGTTTCCCCAAGAGCGTGCTATTGATTCAAATTGCTTGTTTTTTTGTGTTGTTGTTTTTTCCGAATACTGTTATTTCTAATCATTTCCCTAAGGAGTTCTTGGGACCTAAAAGAATGCTTTACACTCAAGCTGTAGTTAGTTCTCCCACTTTCAGTTTCAAACACGATGTGGTTGCTCTAGCATGGATGCCACCTCTTTGCTTCCATGTCCCTGACTGAAAGGCTAGCGACATGATCTTACATTTATAGAATCAAAACTTTTTTTTTTACCTAAAACTACATAGTATCATTTTTGTCTTATCTTCTGCATTATTCAGTATAAGATTTAACCATTTGCTGATATGTGGGTTCACTGAAAATACAACATAACTAACTTCACTGATGTAAAACTAAAGCTGGCCTTTTTATTTAGAAATGAGTTAAAAATTACATGCATATTTTTTTTCTTGGTTTCTTTTCTAAATTAAAATGCAAGAAACAGAATTTCTTATTAGAAAGTTAGGAGAGAATGTACCATGTTCTCCCACAGTTGTCTTGGATCACTCCACCTGCTGGTATGACATCATTGTAGAAGCAGCTGCACTCGGATAACCTGACGCATTTCATGGTGTTCTCATCCAGGTAAGGAGCACTCTCCGGGCACTTAGCATAACAACCTGTGTGTGAAAATGACCCGCCGTTGGTCTCTATGTACCAAAACTGATCACAATGCATTATAGAGTTGTAAAGTTACTTAAATGATTTCATGAACTAAAGTAGATAATAGCAAAATGACAAGACATTCTTAAGAATGACAATGGGCAATGGGATTGTAGCACTGGATCTTCTCTCTCTCTCTCTTTCTCTCTCTCTATTCCTCTCTCTCTCTCTCTCTCTCTCTCTCTCTCTCTCTCTCTCTCTCTCTCTCTCTCTCTCTCTCTCTCTCTCTCTCTCTCTCATTAAACAGATAATTTACATCCTGAGAAGATGTTTTCAATGTGGAAATATTAATGTCATAATAAAGATAACTAATCATTAAATTACAAAATGTAGGACACTAAATTGTCAGGAGCTAACAACAATTTCAAGTTTTGGGGTTTTTTAAATATATTTTTATTGATTTCAGAGAGGAAGGGGGAGGGAGGGAGAGAGAGCTAGAAATATTAACAATTAGAGAGAATCATTGATCGACTGCTTCCTGCATGCCCCCTATTGGTGATTGAGCCTGCAACCCAGGCGTATGCCCTGACCAGGAATCGAACCATGACCTACTGGTTCCTAGGTCAACACTCAACCACTGAGCCACATGGGCCATGCATCCAATTTTAAAATCCTATATAATAAAAGCATAATATGCAAATAGACCAAATGGTGAATGTCTGGTAGCTATGATGTGCACTGACAACCAAGGGGCGAACGCTCAACGCAGGAGCTGCCCCCTGGTGGTCTGTGTGCTCCCACAGGGGAGACATCGCTCAGCCAGAAGCCAGGCTTACAGCTGGGGTGCGCAACAGCGGTAGCGGGAGCCTCTCCTGCCTGCCCCAGCTACAGGCAGGCAGTAAGGAGCAAGGGGTCCCAGACTGCGAGAGCCCCAGACTGTGAGAGGGATGTCTGACTGCCAGCTTAGACCCAATCCCTAAGAGGATCGGGCCTAAGCCAGCAGGTGGACAGCCCCCAAGGGGTCCCAGACTACAAGAGGATGCAGGCTGGGCTAAGGGACCCTGCCCCCCCCCGCCAGTGCTCGAATCTTGTGCACCGGGCCTCTAGTATCAATAAAATTTGCATTACTTCATGGATATTATTAAAATTCACCTTACCTTCTAAAAGTGCAGAAAATTTCTGGCCAATAACTCGATCTTTGCATGTTTTTGCAGTCACCGTCCCGCAAGGCTCATAATGCCAGCTGCATTCTCCAGGGGCATTATAATAATCACAGTAGACAGCTGTAACCGAATTATAGCCAATTACTTCCTCTTGTTAGGTAACAACTTTCACTTTCATTTCCCCAAGTATTTTTAAAAAGGAATTTGAATGATATTACAATAAGCAGAACTAAAGTATGCCATTCTGTCTTATCAATTTCCTTTGTATTTATCCAAATTGTTATATAAGCCCAAATAGCTCACCAAAAAAAAGCATATAAAATCAAAATAACACTTTTCTTTGAAAAATAGCATTCATGTTGGTTTGAGGTGGAAAAGCAATATTAATTTTCCCATTTTTAGATAATTTAGGTCATAGTCTAGATTTGCAGTTTTAATGTTCAAATTTAAATTAGAAAAATAAATCTCTGCAAAAATTAAGCTTTTTAAAATATGTAAATAGCAGATCCCAAATGAAGTAACTCAAGATTTCAATATAACATAAGCTTAGCATCATAAACTGAATAAAACGATGATTCAATTTTAACATTATTCATTTGTCATATTTTCTCATAATACCTTCCTTTAAAAGGAAGTATTGACTGATTCCTACTAAAGTTACCACTTTCCATATATGTCACGATTCATTTTACATTTATCTTACAGTTTATCTTGACTGGAACTCTATAAAAGTTTTTATGATAATGAGTGAGGACTTTAACCAATAGTGATATATGACATAAGTTCTTAAGGATTTGTGACTGTAACAGGTTATGTAAACAGTTTTTTGTTCATCTAAGTTTTAATGAGATCTTTTCCATCAGTATTCAATTTCCCCCTTGTAAAATCAAGAACTTCTGCAAGTAAAATTGAATTTAATGTGGTATGGTAGGTGCTTTGCTTGTTTAAAATAGGTATTTTTTTCCCATCGTGACTTATTAATATGTTTTTAAACCTAAGTACAAGATTTTATATAGATAGATATAAATAATATAGAGAGTTTATATATAATCTATAGTATATAGAGAGAAAATGTGAGAAGAATGATTACTTAACAAAACAATTCTGCCTAATTACGTTGTTAAGGAACAATTTATGGGCTCCACTTACGACAGAGGTCGGGCTTTCTCCACGCCACACAGACCCCAACCGCGCTGCACGCCTCCGCATACATGGCCACAGCCGTGCAGAATCCCAGGTACTTGCCCTCCATGTCGCAGGCGCAGGCTTCCTCGATGCACGCATCGTAGTAAGTGCTGGGGTCCACCTGCGGTGGAGGACAGAGCATGAGTGTCTGGGAGCGGGTGCAGGCGCAAGCAGGCCCTCCCCCTCAGAGCCCGGCTACCTTGCTGTGGCACTCTCTGAAGGTGCTGTCCCGGATGATCTCGCATTTCCGCACAGCCCAGGCTTTGCAGTAGGGGTTGGAGTCACATGGGAAAGTCTGAGTTACGGTGTCTGAACATTCTTGAGACGTCTTCCAGCTATTTCCAAACTCCAGTGCTCCGGTAGCTACTGAGGAGTACCGCGTTGTGAAATCATCCTTGAGATCGCCGTTGCTGTTTCCACAAAGACCACACACTTTGCCCTAGCCACATCAGAAAGGAAAATGAGTAAGTAAGTTGTTAGGGATATAGACATATAGGTATGTAATACACACACACACACACACATATATATATATGGAGATGAGATCAGAAAGGAAAATTAAAAGTGAGTTTTACTAGGGACATGCATAGAGCTAGATAGGTAATGATATATATTATAATCATTAATCTATTTTAAAATTTGAATTTTGAAAGGAAACCAGAGTTTGTGGATAAGATTCTGCTCCATTTAATTCAAGAAATCCTATATTGTAAAGTGATCTAGTATCAAATAAGATAAATGCCTTAAGAATTAAAACATTATTATATTCACTAGCTTCTAAATTTTCGTGAGAATCCCCTTAGGTTCTTAGAATATTTGCTCTCAGGAATACATCTAATTCTATATATACACCAACTACTTCAAAATTGAATTTATGCAATAATCTCAAATAACCATATGTGGTTAAACTAGAGGGCCTCAGGTGTATTGCATGTATTTTTCACCGGATTCAATCATCTTTGATTATAGTTCGTATTGCATGCAGATTGAATATATGTAGAGGGCTTGTTCTATAACAGAGACTACCCTCCTCCAACTTCTATCTACAAAGATGTGTATAATTCTCCGTAACAGAAATGATTTTGCTTCCCAATTAATTACTTATTAGTGATGTACATACATTCCAGTATGGCTCCAATATAACAGTCATTCTTGTGTTCTTGTCCCAAATCACGGTTATTCCAGAGACAAATTTCAGAATCAGGTATAAGCCAACGGTATGCACAGTGTACGCATTTCCATTGAGTTCACACTCCTTACTTTCTGTCGTTTTGATGGCTGTTACCTTACCATCTTGCAAGATAACATTCTGATCCTGAAAATAAAAACATATACTTACAATTAAATCCATTTTATTTGGCCAATCGTAATCTGAGGGGAGAAGTAAGTAAAGAGAAATCGCTCTGTACCTGAAAAGCAACTATGATTTTTCTCGAGCACGTGAGGCCGTCTTCACAGCAAGGGACGCTTTCAGTTAAAATGCGGAATGTGCCATTTTCACTGCCACAATAATCCTTTAAAAATTAAATTATAATACGTTTATGAACATCAGGGATGTGAAACTCAATTGCAACATTTGTATCAGACAAATATCTCACTCAGTAACACCTGAAACTCAATAAGTTACCATAAGCTGGTGATTTATTATGGGATGTTATGGAATTCCCACAAGACAGTGGTCGCCTTGGCTGAGTGCAAACTAGTCACCTCGCTTTGACTCAGCCCTTTCCCATTTCTTCTATACAGGTTTAGAATGAGTATATCATAGATATGTGTATTTAAATTATATAAGTTTGTAATCATAAGTTTATTTCTGGATGCTGTAAACAGCTAAAGGTATGTTTTTTTCTCAGTGATTGATATGAAACTTACTATTCAATCAAAACTAATAAATACCAACAATTACATTTCGCCCATTAGATGTTACTGGGGAAGGAGCTTAGTTGCATGTAACGAACTCTGGAATCAATCAGATCAGGTTTGAATATGGCACTGTCTACTTAGCAATTTACATTGCTTATCCTCTCTGACCTTCATGTCTTCAGCTGAATCATAGGAACACTATCAACCTCTTAGTGTCATAATGATTAAATGAATAAAATACATAAATTTGCTTGGCAGAGAAGCAATCATAAAATGCTGTTGTAACACATAGTGCTGTTCTTAAAAATATGATAATATCTAACATTAAATAAGAAGTTAGTATGTGCTCCAGTATTTTTTCTAATTTCTTTTCAAGTCAGGACTATTTCCATCCCCATGTTATTGATAAGGGAACCGAGACACAGAAAGGTAAAGGGATGTGTCCAAAGCCACATATGTGAGAAACGGTAGAGCCGGGATTCAAATCCAGGTGGCCTGCCTTCAGAGTCAGCATTCCTTTGTTACAGTTTATTGCCTTTGAGAAACATGTAAGGGGCATTTAAAATATTTTTTTCATGTTTTCAGAATAAAATTATCCAGAGCTTATATACAAAAAATAGTAAGAAATATAGAAAAACTGTGGCAAAACACTTGCAGTTACCTCAACAAATGAATACTGGCAGAGCCCATCAAAGCTGTAACTTTTTCTGTCAAAAGTTTGAACGTGACCTTCCCCATAGATGTGGCAGGTACTCTGACATTCATTTTGTGTGCAGTTCCAAGATCCTTTCATGCAAGTACTAAAAGGAAGCAATGATAGAGGGCACACCAGTTATATTATTCCAAGATGTCTATGTGCATACTGTTTTTGTCTAAAAGCACTAAACAGTTTTCGTATGGATTTAAATTTTGTAATTGTCTTCATTACATTTTACGATGTTCATCATATATGATGTTATATAAAGTTCTATTTAAAGATATAGCATTTTTTCTAAATACATTTGACCATTATTTTTGAAATATCCCAGAGTATGACTTTTCCTTTCCCATAAAAATAAGGGCAGACATCACACTTCCTAATATCCAAAAAATAAAATAGCAATCCTTAGGCACCATTTGTTGCAGCCAACTGAGGTGACACTTCCTTGGCTATACTCTCGTCCACCAAAAGAGCAAGGGCAGTCATCAGGAAAGACACAGTTCCCTTTAGAATCTCGAACCATTCCTACTGGACAGTAGCACCCACGTTTGCAAGGCGAGTTCTCCTACAGGAATAAGTACAAAGTATACATCGTAAGGCACTGCTCTCAGCACATCACATTATCAGCATTAATGTACAATACATTAATATACCAGGCATGCATTTAGTGTCAACATTGGACAAGTCAAAATAACAAGCAATAAATAATATGACCTTCTCATTATTTTTTTATCTGCATTTAGTTCCTTTTGCCCTGAAACAATGAAAAGTTTTAAAGAGCTAAACTCTGATGCCATGTTACTTACCTCAAAATTAGGTATGTTCCGAGTGCTGCATGTACTGTCAACCCTTCTCTGTGCCTTGGGATCACTGCAGTCAACATATTCAGCCCCTCCAGAGCAATTCTCTGCAGGAGAAAGGAAGGGATTAACCAAGGGCCTCTTGATCTGTTTATTTCAACCAAAATAGGTATCTTAAGCCTTCACCATGATGTCAACACTTACGGTGGGTTAAATCAATGGGAGTCTGGCAAAGAAGAATTCCATCCCGACAGACACTGGAAAGACAAGAAAATGATGCATTTAAAACATCGAATTTCAATAACAAAATCTTAATACACTGTTACAATAACTTTAACCCCTCATCCATGCACCACCTGTTTTAGCGCAAGTAGTAGTCTAAATGAGACACAGTCCTCAGAAAATGCAGATGAACCAAAATATAAGATATAGGCTTGAATGTGTGATAGGAATGTACAAACAAAGTTGTATGGACGTCAAAGAAAGCTTGATTCTCCCAAGAGGTAGTACCCTGCTTACTCTCTGAGCCCCAGACAACGTTCATTCATCTTTGCATCGGCTGCAGTAAGCACAAGGTCTGGCACACAGTAAATATACATTTGATGTGTTTGTTGAATGGTGAATGCTGAGAGACAACTAGAAAGTCTTGTCTGACTAGGAAATCATTTCTACATTGTTTGCAGGTAGGAGCTGCTAAAATATTCTTCTACTGGTATTTAAAACCAAAGAACAGTAAGATAGATTAGTTACAGCCATGATGATGCAATGAACACTCCTGGTAAAGGGTGTCAATAACCAAGCTTCCTCAGAAATGGAAAATGAAAGATGTGACAGGTCTAAAGAAGCCATCATGCTAGCAAAAGACTATTTCTCTGAAAACGACAATCCCTGGATTTCAAAGCGATAACAAATAAATATGTGATCTCCATACCATTTATTGTCATCAATCTCGATGAGTTTGCCTGGTTTTATGACCTCGTCATTCATGTAGCACTCACACTGGGACTTTGAAACACAATTTCCTTCGTTATCCTTGTACATCCCATCAGGGCAAGTGCACCCATCTACCGGAACATCTTCTACATCACAGCTCCTATCGCTCTCTGACAGGGATCGGCAAGAACTGTTGCAGGCTTTTACATTGTACTTGAAAACTAGGCCACTTGGACAAGAGTGATCTGTAGGGATAGAGTAAACATGTACATATTCAGAAAAATTAGCAACTTTACTTCAACTTGATGTTTATAGATATTATAGTAAATTTAGTAAATTGTTCATAATTGATTAATATATTTTTATTGACTACAGAGAGGAAGGGAGAGGGAGAGAGAGCTAGAAATATCAGTGATGAGAGAGAATCATTGATCGGCTTCCTCTTGCATGCTCCCCTTTGGGGATCGAGTCTGCAACCTGGCATGTGCGGGCTCATGACCTCCTGGTTCATAGGTCCATGCTCAACCACTGAGCCACACTGGCTGGGCCATAATTGAGATTATTTTTAAAAATCAAGAAAACGTACTCATTCATTGTTTATTCCCCCCCCCAGTTAATATTGAGTCCCTACTATATGTTTATATATTTTACTGCTGGGGGAAGTACACTTTCCTTACGTGCTGTGTGCAGCAGGGAAACTGCTCTTGGTGAAGAGGAGAGACAGCGTGAAAGCAGCCCAGAGAAAGGTAATTCTATGTGCGGGCAACAGCCTAAGTTAGAAGAGGAGGAGATTCTTGTAAAGAGCACGTGAAAGAATAAAAGCTCTGCGCCCAGACCCCGAGTCGGCAGGTAGAACCCACAGGCCCTAAGAGGAGGAGATTCTTGTAAAGAGCACGTGAAAGAAAAGCTCTGCGCCCAGACCCCGAGTCGGCAGGTAGAGCCCGCAGGCCCTCTTAGGCAGTGTGGTGTTTCAGAGCCATGATCAGCCCCTGCCTGTGTTAGACCGAGTGCCACACAACCGGGTTGGCTTTATTGGTTTTCTTTAAAGATGACACTGACTTCTCTGTAGAAAATGGATTAGAGGAACCAAGAGGGAAAGTGAAGGAAACTATTGCCGTCACCCAGGAGGAAAAATCATGGTTTCTCAACTAGGTTGATGGCAATAAAGATGAAGCGATATGAGTGGATTTTAGAGAAATTTTGGAAGTGAACTTGACAGAACTTATTGATTGACTGGATATGGACTATGAGGTATTAAGTGTGATCTATAAGAGATGCCTTTGTACAAAACATTATTTTTGTAAATTGAGTACTTTCTAAAGTTGCATTCAAATAGTGCAGTAAATATTTTAAAACAAAGCAAGGTTTTATAAATGATAGTTGAGACTTTAATTTACTAATTTAATTTTATTTGGTTTCTAATAAATAAGTTTTTTAACATTTGACTCTGACTTAGAAATGCAGTAGGAGTCAGAACGTTATTTAAATTTTGGCAGATAATAATTGAACAGAAACTTATATTTATACATAAATACATACATATTCTGTTCTGTTTAAATATGAACATATTAAATCAAGATAAAAGAAATAAATAATGAAGTAAAAATGCAAGGATTGCTTAAACATAAAATATACACATATATAACTATATATACATACACACACACACACACACAGGCACTGAGTGACCATATTTAAATCACATGCTAATCCCTTGTCCTTCAGCAGGCTGGGTTGCTTTGATTGGTAGTTCTAATTAGATTTACCCCAATGAAGATGGGGCAGATTCCCAAAGAAATATCAGAATTTTATTACAAAAAAAGGGAGGACATGGATCTTGAGTAATCAGTACAATTGAGGACCAGAAATGTGCACTCTTAATATTTTTACATTGTTATTGTTTTCCTTGGTATATCTCCCCAAAGGTGTAAATGCAGTATCAGGACGATGAAGATTTTATATATACATATATATATATACACATACACACACACACACACACACACACACACACACACACACACATAGGCACTGAGTGACCATATTTAAATCACATGCTAATCTCTTGTCCTTCAGCAGGCTGGGTTGCTTTGATTGGTAGTTCTAATTAGATATATTCTGTTCTGTTTAAATATGAACATATTAAATCAAGATAAAAGAAATAAATAATGAAGTAAAAATGCAAGGATTGCTTAAACATAAAATATACACATATATAACTATATATACATACACACACACACACACACAGGCACTGAGTGACCATATTTAAATCACATGCTAATCCCTTGTCCTTCAGCAGGCTGGGTTGCTTTGATTGGTAGTTCTAATTAGATTTACCCCAATGAAGATGGGGCAGATTCCCAAAGAAATATCAGAATTTTATTACAAAAAATGTTATTTAAATTTTGGCAGATAATAATTGAACAGAAACTTATATTTATACATAAATACATACATATTCTGTTCTGTTTAAATATGAACATATTAAATCAACATAAAAGAAATAAATAATGAAGTAAAAATGCAAAGATTGCTTAAACATAAAATATTTCATATATATATACATATGTATACATATAGACACAAAGATATACATATATACACATATATAACTATATATACATATATATATATACACATACACACACACACACACACACACACACACACACACACACACACATAGGCACTGAGTGACCATATTTAAATCACATGCTAATCCCTTGTCCTTCAGCAGGCTGGGTTGCTTTGATTGGTAGTTCTAATTAGATTTACCCCAATGAAGATGGGGCAGATTCCCAAAGAAATATCAGAATTTTATTACAAAAAAAGGGAGGACATGGATCTTGAGTAATCAGTACAATTAAGGAACAGAGATGTGCACTATTAATATTTTTACATTGTTATTGTTTTCCTTTCCCCAAAAGTGTAAATGCAGTATCAGGACGATGAAGATTTTTATAGTTCCTACTGCCTAATGTCACACTGATTTCCAAAATGTCACACTAGTGCCTGAAGCTCATCCTCCCCTACCCAGGACTGGGGGATACATTGTTTTAAACCACACTTCTGGCAACTAACCATCTGTTCTGTATCAGAAACAGAAAATTCTCTTTGAAAGAACCCAGTACAAATTTGTGAACACATGGGACTAGACTCTCTCTCTCTCCCTCTCTCTCTCTCTTAAAATTGAGAAGGAAGAATTATCTGAAGCCTTCATCCTTACCGCATCGTCCAGTTCTCCATTCCACTATGTATGTTTCTTTCTCAGCACATGCTTTCACATAGTTGCCTAAAATTGTGCACAGGCATTCTTGACCATCTTCACAACTGCAAGTGTATTTTTTGCATTCCTTTAAAATAAAAAACAAATTTATATTACATTATGAATATATTCAGAAGAACATAAACTGAGTATGATGCTTCAGTTCATAACCACTCTGCTTCCCTGAAAAAAAAAATGTTGTTGAAACTTTGGGAAATATTTCTTTTTATAGTAAAAATTTGCAAGACAGCATATCAATAATTAACTGAGTTTTCAACAAACTTAGAAAAGACAGAAAGAGAACATCATTCAAGATTTTTCTCATTTTTTGTACCACATTTTAAATTAAAATTGGTATATCTAACAATTGAATAAATTAGTGGAATCCAATGCTAAATTTAAACATATATCATCATCTACTGTCAATGGTTGCTTTTAAATTTTTTTAATATCTACATGATTCTTTTGATATTATCAAAGTATTTCCTAAACAAGTTGTTAATGTTAGACCCTCACATACCTCATGATAGGGTTTAGGGTTCACAATTGGATGGCAGGAAGAAAAAGGCCCATTTGAATCAAGAAGAATTCCACAGTGACTTTCAGCAAACCTTTCTGGAAGGAAATTAAGGCACCCCAAAATTATATTAATAACTTTATAATTTTTAATTACAAGACAAAGTGCAAATGTTTAACAAAGTTTTGTCTTTAAATAATTATGTTTTTAAAGTGTTTTTAAATTGAATGTATCGCTATATAAAAACAATAGCATGATATAATCAGAGACACTTTAAGCCAAAGAGGCAGAAATCTTTATTAGCTTTGGACTTTTATCTAAAATCAGCTAAACTTATTCTGAAATGCAGTTTATACCTACACATAAGTGGTAAAAAGAGAACCAGATTATTTATTTAGGTGTCTTTTAATTTAAAATATAAATTTATGTCTGTGTTGACAAGTTGGGTAAATGAAGCCACCACAACACCCCTCATTTCACCCCTGTCGCCCAGTATAATTTCCTTAATAAGATGCAGGGTTTGGGATAACTAATATATTTGATAGCAGTGGCTGGGACACCTGGATCTGGCTACAGCTCTATTGTTAAGTGGCTCACTCTTAACAATTTCAAGCAACGATCACTTCCATGAGCCTTGTTTAATAAACCAAATAATCTATAAAGTCTCTTCTACCCCTATTATTCTATAACCATGGAGAAAACTGTATAAGAAAGGGAAAAAATGGATATAGAAAACGACAACTGAGATGACCCAGCCATTCCCTGTGAAAGATGTGTTTGCTAGGAATGCCCTCAGCCACACAGACAGTTTCTCTAATCATGGGACAGCACAGAAAGATGTGTTTGCTAGGAATGCCCTCAGCCACACAGTTTCTCTAATCATGGGACAGTACGCCAAACAGTAGTTAAAACCAGATTTATGTGATAGACTCCTATCATTACCAGAATGAGTACATAATTCCTAGCACCTGATCTTTAACCACAGAGTTTGGCATTTAATTAGCATTACCTGTGTCTATGCTGATGCATGAAGTTGGGTTTCCTTTAGGACAGGACATCATTTCCCAAGAATCAGCAAAAGCCTGAGACGACTTCTCCAATATATTCTGACTTGACATGAAATCATCTTCTGCTCTGTTGTTGTAGGAGCCACAGAGTCCTGTGGAAGAGCACAGGACAAAGTTGAACATCCCCTTCCCTACTCAACTTTTTGGACTCATATCCTCACTTCATATTCAGTTCTTTAAGTCAAAACTGCAGAAGCTGTCTAAGAGTACAGCTTGCTTAGTCTTTATACACGTAAGTGACCATGGAATTTGCCGTAATTGTTCTTGTTTTGTGTGACGCCATTGACAGTATGTAAGAGCTGATTTCTATAGTAGAAAAAACCTAAGTGGAAGATATGAACACGTGACCAGAAAAAACATGTTATACTGTAGTTTGTATGTGAAATATGATTTTCAAAAGATTGATATCCATAATATCTTAGTTTATTCTTTTACAGACCAAAATCCTTAAAAATGCATATTAACAAAAGGATAGTTAACATATTATCAAATATCATTATATTTGAAAAATAAAAGCCTTTATTTAAAAGCCTAAAATGTTGAGAACCATTTAGGAATGGGTTTTGTAACAAACAAGGTTGTCATTACTATAAAAAGCAAATTGAAATTTTACTGAAATATAAAAAGGAAGATGAAGTAAAAATGACGTATGGTTTAATATCATTAAGAGACAGTTGAAAATTACAATAGATGATTGACATATTAGAGCCTTGGAAATAAAAACATAGGCAGAGGACTTACCGACAGTGTCTGTGAATTGGTTAGGTGGCATGGAAACATATAATTGCATCACGGGATCAGTTTGTATTTGCATTTTTACATGAGAGTATGTTTCTACTTGAAAGTATGAGAGAGATGCCTTGAAAATCTGTATTTTGTCTGTTAAAAGAATTATTAACATTATTAGCAGGAATTAATATATTAAACAGTTTTAAATTTATTAAAGTGTTTTTATTCTTTTATATATTAAAAACAGAAACATTTATTATCATTAAAACTTGAATAAATGAATGCCTCCTACATTTATTTTTAAGTGGTATTATTAAACTTACCTGAATAGTAATAATGTTGATTTTCAATCTTGTCATTTGTGACTGTTCCATCTCTATTAAATACATATTTGTCAACCGAACCAGACTAAAATTGAAAATACATTGTTAGTTCATATCAATTTACAAAATTATTTCAGTTTAATGCAATGTAATAGATGCAATAAAAACGGGTATAATTTTATTGGATTAATTCCTAAATATCTAAACCATTTTTAAAGCACTTTCCATTCATACTTCGCTTCATTGTTTCTCATACGAACTCTCTGAGGAAGTTTGTAAAGGGCTCTTCATCCCCAATTGTAGATGAGGAAACTAAGACCCTTGAAGGTAACTTGGATTTCCAAAGGTTAAAAAGCTTGTAAGTGCAGGCTGGCTGCTCTTCCTTCTCATCTAGGTCTATTTCCACTTAAATTGTTAGTTTCTCAGACATGAACTTGTAAGCAAATATAATTGCTTTCTTAATGATCCACAGTATTTAATAATTTTATAATTACGTAAGGTTGATGTGTAATGAGCGTGTTAGTTGTGTATCTATGGTATATTTTTATTATTTAAGGATCCTTGGGACTATCCAGCTCTTCCAGAGACTCTACCACTTTTCTGCATAATCTTATTTGTACTTTTAATTTACATAGTAAAGCCTCTTTTCTGCAACCTCTGAAATTCTGAATTTGTGACATAATTAATTTGGTTGTGCTCTGAGTAAACTTTAGGAAGCTGACGACTTACCGAATTTAAGACGAGTGTAACACTATTTAAGCACGTTCCTGACATACCACTTGGACATGGACGAAGCTCAACACTAACAGACCAATCTTGATCCTGTTAAAAAAAATGCATTTCATTTAAATAATAATTTAAATGTTATTGATGACATGTTATTACTATTTTATTTACTCACAATGCATGTTTGTATTTTTAAATTAAATTTATTGGGGTAACATTGGTTAATAACATTTTATACGTCTCAGGCATACGACTTTATAATCCAACATCTCTAGATTCCATTGTGTGCTCACCACCCAAAATCAAGTCTCCTTCTGTCACCACAATGCCTCTATACAATCATTCTGCTCTGAAAATGGAATCCAACTTCAATCCATGGTATAGATTAAAATTGGTCAAGAGCTTTACCGATCAGCTCTATCTGTGTGGCCTATGATTGGTGATTTTTCATAGCCATTGTTTTTTCTTAATCTTTACTTTCTGTCTTCTCCTCCAAGGGAGTTATGCTGTATGTGGAGACTAAGGTGAATTAGAGGCAACCTAGCTTGGTTAGTCTCTGGACAATCCACATTGTCTATTTAGATCCTATGTGAGAGACAATTAATAAAACCTCAATATAATTCATGTCAAACATTGACTTCCAGTTCTCATTTTAAGATCTAGGAATCCCTAAACTATAAGAAGCAAATATTCCATACATTCTGGCATATTTCCTTCTCACTTTACTCATCCCCCATTCTCATGGATTACATGAGGCGTACAAAGAGAAGGAAAGAAAATTTGGAAAACTGACTTTTAGCAGCAGAAAGTACATTTCTCAGAGTACTGGGCATTGGCCCGCATCTCTCACTTCAGGAATCACAAATTCTGTTCATCTTTGTTTCTTACCAGGAAGACTAAATAATATTACTTATCCTCATGCTAGCCGAAGGTACAAGCTATGAAATGGGATTCCCACTTTTATTAAAATTCAAACTACTTAAAATTTTAATACTGAAAAGAATTTAAATATAAGGACAGCCTCTATCATACTGATAATATTGTCATAAAACCTAAAAATAAATGCAAAGAATAATAATGAAAGAGAAAGATGCTTCATCTATATTAATAAAAGCATAATATGCTAATTAGACCAGATGTCCTTCCGGACAACCTTCCAGACGAAGCCAGGGCTGCAAGGGAAGCCTGGGTCCTGGGTGCCAGAGGGAAGCCAGTGCCAGCAGCCGGGGGAAGGGAAGGCCTACTCTTGCATGAATTTCATGCATTGGGCCTCTAGTAGAATATAAAGGATAGTTTCATTTGAGACACTAGTGAACACATGCAAAGAAAAGTAGCACAAATAATTTTCCAGTCCATTTAGAAAATTATTAGTGATGAAAGGGGCTTTGTTTGTTTTTAAGCAGAAATTTCTAAAGAGCACAGGTAATACTGGTTGCCAATGTCAATGTGATAGCAAACATACTGAAATATATAACCAGTACTTGAAAGGCTGTTCGTTATTTATTTTTTTAATAATTGAAGGTGAAGATTGTGTTTCAAGTTAATTTAAAAATAGCTTGGAGCCTGTATTAGTTTTCTGAAGTGTTCGAGGTTCTTACGTACGTGGATGGCCAAAAAGTGACAGTTTCCAGGATGGTTATATTTTTCACCATCGAAGGTGGTAATTGAACTTCCTTCCACCTTACATCTTCCAGGACACATTGCTTCAGTGCAAGACCACTTTGCATCTTGGCATGTGCTGTTAAAATAAAATGGTTATGTTAAAGACCACCAATCACGTCTTTAAGAAATCACAACTTACACTGACATTTAGTTAAGCTGTATTAGGCCATGCACATCCCCCACCCAACATCTCAGTTCTGATGTAATGCCTCATTGACAGTGGTATCCTGGTATTTTAAAAGTCGTGAATTCCACTGAATAAAATGATAACATCCAACTGCATTAAACAAATAAAAACTTGTAAACTGGATCTCAGGTGCTTAAATGGAACATATTTCACTGTTAGTATTAAAACATCTGCTACTTGCCCCATTGTAGACCTGCACTTTCCAATATAGTACAGAGTCGTATAGCTATTGGTTATTTGAAATCTGGCTAGTCCAGATTGAGATCTACTTTAAATGAAAAATATACAGATGATGAAGGCAACATGAAAAAAATTGTAAAACCTCAGGTTAACGTTTTATACTAGTTTTATGTTGAAATAATAGTTAAAAGTGTTAGTTATCTATGTGGGTGACATTCATGACTCACATTATACTTCTCTTGAACAGTATTTTTGTAGATATTTAATAAATCATACTATTGTTTTTATAATCATTATTAATAAATTATTACCATATGAATCAAACATTTTCTATTTATAGGAAAATTATTATAGTATAAATACTACATTGTTTTTTATTGAGTTAAATTATTTCCCCAGAAGGACATCATATATTTCTAGAAAAGTCCTTTGGGATCCTGCAGAAATTTGGAGTTTCAGAGAAAAGTAATAAAGAGGATGGGGAAATCTCTCTCGTCAGCAAATTCTTGCTGCACTCAAAAGGAAGAATCAAGCTAACTATTCAAAGAGGAATAATCTACACTAGCCTTTGGCACATTAAAATCTACTCCGGATTAAATTTATCTCCACAAATGTAGCCTTCTATAGAATTATTTAAAAAGTGTTGGGCTGTTTCTGATTATACATTTTATTAAATATTCTTGGCAATTAGAATGATTACTATTTCATTATTGTAACCATACTCTTGTATTATCCTTTGTTCTCTATCTGCAACCACCAACTGGAGCACTATTCAAAACACTCTTTCAGTTAGCGGAAAACATTATCTTTTAAAGATACACAGAAAGTTCACATGTTTTATACAAATATCACACTAAACATTCCTCAGCCAAAAAGATAAAATATTAACACGGAAAATCCCATGAGGCTGCTAAATTAGTCTGAAGGGTGGATTCAGGGATTATTTTAAATTAGACTAAAATATTCGTATTTTTTCACTATCAACAAAGTGAGGATGAAAAGCACACATACCACTGAGACCCACAGGGACCTTCTCGAACGTCTCCTGACAAGTAGACGTTTCCATTAGACTCACAGGGACAGTCGGCCTTCAATACACATCTTCCTTTCTCTCCAATGTCATCCAACAGATAACCTAGAATACGTTATGTAAGGTGAATCTCAAGACATATGAACCCCAGTATATTCTCAAGCAGTGTATTGTGAAATGACTGTTGAGCTAGTTCTGATAGGTGCGGACATGCACTTAACATAATAATTTCTATTTAAGCAGTTACTCCTTCTTTGAGAACTTGCAAGCATGTGATTTTCTGAACCACAGAGCAGTCCTCCTGAGCCAAATGTAGAATCAGAGGATAATCTGTGGGTATTACAGCCCTCAGGTACCGCAGAGACAGAAATGCACATTAACTTTAAAGGTCTCTCTCTACCCCCCATCTGCAGTTTGCTAGAAGGCTGGACTATGAATAAGTGAATTCATTAAATATCTTGTTAGAGATAAGACTGCACTAGAGTGAGTCACTTCTTTTTCAGTTCTTTTGGTGTAAATATTATTACCTTCTGGGCAGGTGCAGCCACTCACACATTCACTGTCTTGAAAAGGAGCCACATTAGAACAAGTTGCAGGATTTGAGGGGCCACATTCTTTGTAGACATGTTTTTCTGGGCATTGAGGTTTTTCTGGAGAAATATAGAAATATTTATATATGAAATTAGAGGAAAATTAATGTGATGAATATATAACATTCTAATGAGGATCTTTTCAAATAGGATTCTTTGAGTCTAATTTTCAAGATATATGTTTTTCAAGCTACTCAGTACCACTATATTATGCCAATTGACCATGCATTATTTTATAATACAAAATTTAATATGGAGGAAAGATATGCTGTACATAATATCATTTCATCTTACTTTGATCTTATTTGTATTCTAACTTATTAAGATTGAGATAAGCATACGTGGAAAGTATATATATGTTCTGAAGCTTATATTTATGTTTTATTAAGACGGATCATGAGAATTCTCATGTTCTCTGTTATTACACAGTGTTTTACAAAGTATCATACTTTAAAAAGATATTAGCTTGTAAGACCCACAAGCTAATAAATAATTTCAAAATGCAATGGGTATTTAATTTTAAAGCGTGCCTTTAATATTTATGTAAAACGTTTTTTGTACTCATTCAATAGAAACTTATCTGGCCACTGGGTAAAGCTAGCAATAAAACTACTGGTCTGCAATGTGTTAATTTTTTTGAAAGAAAATCATAGTGCTAATCAATATCCTTTTGTTAACATTTCCAGAACTTTTACAGTTTTTTTGTACAATTTTACTCATTTCCCCCAGTGAATTTTATTTATTGTAAATATCATGAAGTTCCTCAGTAATATCTTTACACAAAGCACTGCAACTTGTGGCGAGTCACTTCACCAAAGGGCCTCAGTGTCCTCGCAAGTACATGTGAAGACAAGGCTCTATCATCTCTAAATGCTTCCCAGGGCTTACAATCATCTGAGAAGATCACTACGAAACATAGCTCAACTTTAAAGTCCCATACAGGGTTGGTCCAAAGTAGGTTTATAGTCATTCGTATGGAAAATAATACAATAATTAATAAATAATAATACAACAATAAGCTCTGTGTTTCGTGTACTCACTACTGTAAACCTACTTTTGTCCACCCTGTGTAAACTTCCTGATTGGAAATCTATAATAAAATGAAAAACCTACCGCAAACCACATCAGAATCATCTCGCCAGGATTCGTAGGTGCCGGGACCATCTGAGGCACAAAGGCGGGACAATTCTGAATAAGTGTCACATGTCGACTTTTTGTCTCTATTTTGGCAATACTCATCAATGCAGACCTTTTTGTAGTCACTGGATAAGGCAGAAACCTTTCCACATTCCTCAAAGTAGGTTCCAATAATTTTGTTACAGTACTGCAAAATAAAATATAAAGTTTTTATAAAACATTAAAAATGAACAAATGAATATTTAAGAAGAGATCAATTCAGAAGTACTTTTCTGCATAATATCCTGTAGTTTTGACAGGGAGGATTATTGGATGCTGGTTGAAATGAAGCATTTTTAAGGATTATAGTAGATATAGTCACTCCTAAAATAGTACTTCACTTGTGGCATTTGAGTTGCTATAAAACAACTTCAAAAATTGTACCTGAATTCATCCCAAATTTCTCTAAAGGTGACATGAGGTTTAGAACTTGAGAAAGTGGAAGAGGTGAGAAAAGGAGAGATCAGTCGATATCAGAAATTGGATGGTAAATGATTGATAACACAATAGACAGAAGGGATATTGGCCCTTTAACTGTTAGTCTGCTTATATTTGGTGAGCAAACAGATGACATTAAAATGCAGTGACTCTGTTTTCTTGGTGTGGGCTATGTGAGTTTGTTCTGGAAACAATATATTTGTTCTCATGTTGGTTAAGAAAGTAAAAACATGTTAATGAATCCAAAAGGTTCAAATTTCAATATATCTTAACTATCTCATAACTATCTTCTATTTTAACCATTTTTGTTTGCTTTCTTTCAGGAAATGTGAAAGCTATTGCCAAACAAATGCACGATTTGCACTAATTAAATTCTGGGACAACTGATAATATTCTCCAAGTGAGGTATAAAATAAAGTGAAATAACACCTGCAAAGATTGCAAAGATTGCTTTTACATCTATTGTTCTTTGTTACTTTCTCTCTAGATTATAGGTCCTTTTAGGGCAAGAACTATAACATTGAATTTAATATAGCATGGATTAGTACCAGGTCTTGGATATAGTAGGTCTTTGTCAAGTATTCACTGGCTTTAACATACATTTATGTAAACATTCAACTAACATTTTTAAGCAACAAGGGTAACTTCTCACACAGTATGCAACTACCACAACAAATGAGACATTATCACGCAACTCATACATAATCTCATAGAGAAGATATGAGAAAAACATGGGAAATCATTATAGATGGTGTCTTATTGTAAGGACCAATGAGTGACAGAGGGAATGAAGGAAAGAGAAGGCATTGTAAGTGCAAAGATCAAGGAGGGTTTCACAAGGAAGATAGTAGATGATCTTGTATAATGTCACGGTTTAATTTGATTTGCTAAAAGATGACAAGATGGTTATAAATGTAACACCCATTGTCAATAGAACAAAAATTTATTTTATCTTTTGATCTTGAGAATTTTGTTCTAGATTGAAGCAGGAATATGTGAATATTCATTCAGTCACTAAATGAATCTATCAAACTCAACATAACACAAGGTTGGAAGATTCACAGAGTAAATAATGACTATTCTCAATTGTCATAATCAAAAATAGTACCTGTAACTTTTTCAAAAAGAAGGTAAAGGATATAAAGGATGACAATTCAGACTGGTTCTCTGGGGCAACAGTAAGAAAGCAAGAACAGAAACTAGTTCTTAGGGACAAAGTACATGGATTTCTAAACTGTAAGAGTCAAGTTAGTATCCATGAAGAGGTAATAATGCAGAGGGGAAATGTGTTAATTTACAGACAAATGAAAACACTATGCAAAGGAAATTAGAATTGTCACACTAATACATAGTTAATATCATAGTGTTTTAGGGAGAACGTTATTTTGTCCTTTTTAGTTAGACTAAAGCTCAGACTACAGGGACACTGGAGGGGAAGCAGTTGCAGAATTCTAAGATGTGAGTGCTGAGAAAGGATGCTGGCTATCTAAATTGAAACCCAGGGGAATATTGCAGAAATTTGCTACTAGATGAAATACTAATTTCTTACCTCTACTCCATCTTCGCAAGTTTGATAGGTTTTACTAGTAGCTTCAGGGCAATCACCAGCAATTTTACTCTTGGCAATGTGCTCATTGATGTCTTCTCCTTAAAAAGAAAACAATGTTTGATTCACAATATGCATTACATGTACACGTTATCTTCAAGCTAAACATAGATTTGACAACATAAATATAGACATATATTTATTTTAACATTTTTTCATTCTTTAGACAAATGCAAAGTGTTGTTACAGTTACCCAAACATGAGCATTTACTTTATAATTTTCTTTTTGGAAGCAATATTCTTGTTCATAATACATTGAAATCTTACCTGGAGTGGTGTTGAAATTACCACAAAGACCGCAAGTTGGATATTGCTTGTGAAGAGTGAGCTTTAAAAGAAATGTATATATTTATAAAATATTGAAAATATCTTAAGACAAGCTATACCCAAAACAAAGAACACGGCTCTTAGTATTTTATTCTATCTAAGCTGGTTACTTATGGATGTACTACCAGGTGTGTGATTTTTAAGAACCTGGCTCTAGAATTTGGAATAAATCCTGATTCCACCACTTACTAACTGTGTCTTTGAACAGGTTATTTAAATTTTTCATTAGCGTGAATCTCCTGAATTCCATCATCTTTAAAATAAGATTAATAATAGTATGTACTTCAAGATGTTTTAAATATTAAGATAATGGTTAGTACAGTGACAAATACATAGAGATTGCTCAATGAACTTTAGCTCTGGTTTTATAATGTATTGTTTCTGTAACTAAAAGCAAAGAAAAAATAGCACAGGATTATAAGAAAATCAAAGATAAACTTACTGAGAGTTTGTTATTTTTGTCCCACATTAAAGACAAAATTCCTCTACGGCTGTTCAGGACATTATATTCTCCATGTTTTTTAATGTGAATCAGCTTGTTGTTATATGGTATCTGTACACTGAAAAGTATAAAAACACAAATACATATAAATGTAAAAAGTATTCTTATAACACCTTTGTCTGGTAATTCATTTTTCTATAGTTAGAAAATCTGTCTAGTAATTATTAAAGTTTTATTTTTATATCATTTCAGAAGAGATACAATGGCTCTTTTCCCAATATTGGAAAGACTTTTAAGGAACAATGAATAAATCTTTGGGACTTTGGAGTAATTAACAACAACAACAAAACACAGTGGTTCAGTATAAGAAAATAATGATGAAATAATTCAAAATGTTCACAAGTAGAATAATATGCCGCATTTTCTTATCCTGGTAAGTATTCAAATATGCTATCCCTTCCAAATGTAAATTACTATGTCTGGAAATCATGGCCTAAGGGCTTCAATCTATTATAAAACCACAAGTCTATATTTAGTGTTAAACATACAAATAAAAATTGAAACATTCTTTAAACAGTTTTGTTGAATACGCATGTTGCCCAAAATGAGATACTCAAAATAGTCAAACAACAGACATCTCTTTTTTCCCTACCTTGTTATAGAAATAAATATATCTTACAATCCCACATATAGCTGTATTATAGAGTTACCAAACTCCTTTCCAATAATTTATTAAAAATATCAACATACATCAAAATAGGAAAAGAGTACATCATCTCTCACCATCTCTTTCCTATTCAACTTTTTTTTTTGGTTAGGTTACTTCAAATAATTTTACAGCATTTATCCAAACACTATTGCATTTACCTTTCTTCATTAACTAAAATGGTGTCACCAGATATAGAGATGTCATTATTGTCAATTAAAACCGTTATTTTTTCAATCTCACTATCATTGTTTCGTTTGATCTCAATATTGAAATCTCCAGATTCAACGCAGTGGCGGCAGAAAGTGTACGTGCATGATGACTCAAAGGAGAAGATACGGCCGTTGAAAGCTTTGTATGCTCCCTTGTCCCAAGTAGAAGCTTCACCTGTAAGATATTTAGAATAGAATATTCATAATTATTCAGACAATTAATGTATTATCTAGTTCTGATTTATTAAAGTGTTTATTCACCAAGATAAAAAAAAATCACTGGAAGATTCTATTCTCACAGCCATTACCTTTATTCATTACTTTTCTTTCTCACATACTGCAAAAGCACACTAAAAGTAGCACCTGAGGCCTTGGGAATACCCAAAGTTGGCTATCTGGCAAAACAAAACATGAATAAAACATCTTGTTTCCATTGGAAAAGGGAAAATGAGTTTACTATGGGGAGGAATCCATGGAGGGAACTGGTGGTCTGCTTAATTGTTTTGCTCTTTATACAGATAGTCTTTTTAATGTTGTCTGAGTTGGTTAACATTTATATCAAATGAGTGTAAAGACTTCTATTATTTCTTTCTATACATATATATGCACATGTGTACGTGTGTGTACATGTGCATATATATTTATGTGTATATAGTGTCTTTGTATGTATCTTTGAGGAAAAATAGTACTGATGTGATGTTATTCACACATACAATGAACAAATAGATAATGGCAAATTGGTTACTTTATACCTCACTAGAGGCCCGGTGCACGAATTTGTGCACCAGTGGGGTCCCTCCACCTGGCCTGCGGGATCAGGCGGAAACCAGTTCTCTGACATCCTTCGAGGGGTCCCGGATTGTGAGAGGGCACAGGCCAGGCCGAGGGACCCCACTGGTGCATGATCAGGGCCGGGGAGGGACACGAGAGGTTGGCCAGCCAGGGAGGGACCACAGGAGGGCTCCAGGCCATGTCCAGGCCGTAGCTCAGTAATGATCAGCTGGACCCCAGCAGCAAGCTAACCTACCGGTTGGAGCATCTGTCCCCTGGTAGTCAGTGCACGTCATAGCGAGCAGTTGACCTGCCTTGGCATATCATTAGCATATTACGCTTTGATTGGTTGAACAGCTGACCAGACGACCAGACACTTAGCATATTAGGCTTTTATTATATAGGATTAGGTACTGACTAGCTTAGGCATATAAATATGAATAAGAATCAGAATAATTTTTACTTACCAATAATTGTATTTGTTTCTGAGTATGTGGGAGTTGCTTCCGGAATATGAGATCCTTTTTCTATTCAATACAATGCATAGATTAGTAAAATACAGGACATATATTGATTTTATATATATAGTTCATTTGGGCATCTATATGGAAATTAAGAAGTTGGTACTAAAATCTATAAATGGGGTTTGTTTTATCCTGAATATATAATTTTATTTTGTGAGAGCTGTGATTTGCCAAGGTCATACACATGATTATCTCTGAAATTCATATTTTTTCTTGGGACAATCAGCCATAGTAAGCTCAGAAATTAAGAGCTTATTAATTTTGGGCATCTACAATTACAAACATATGTTGCATCCCTAACAGAACTATTTTTTTCAACTACAAATTTTTATTGGCTATTGCCCAAACAGGCCCAAGATAGATTGTATTAAACCAGTCTACTATATAATACTGATAATTCAATTATATATATATATCAGAAAAATTAGTTTATATATATAT